TATGTAATACGTACAGTTTTAAACGTTATCACGAAATTTGTTGAGGTTAAAAACAACTCCCGCAATGAACTTTATGCTGACTTCACGTGGTGTACGACTGTAATTGTAAATTCATTAGTTGGTAACTCATATAGAGTACCTTCATGCGGTATATTGGCCATAGTGGTTCGAATCTTGGACGGATAGACGTAAAATAGACGACTTGCGAAATGTTACCGTTTATGATGGATCTAAAGACATCTGAATCAATCCGGCTTATATATTCTATTCGGTACAATTTTGTTTTATCAAATCCACTGCGTATGTTATATGAAATATATTTGATGAATTATTACATTCCCAGACAGCATGATGACCTCATATAATACTCCTAAAGAGTTCCAAAAATTTTTCTGAGTTGATAAATTTAGATCAGAAGGTGGTTAGAACGTGCTTATAATGTACTCGGATGCGTCGACTTCTGAACTCATTTTGATTTCATCATAAAGAGCTTTTTATGCATATAACCTAGTAAACGAGAAATTATTGAAAGTTCAGAAATAGGATTAAAAATTACTGAGAAGAATTTATTTACGATGATGCTGAATTTTATTTAATTCTTCTCAATAATTTTCAATCCTATTTCTAAACTTTCTAAATAATTTCTCGTTTACTGGGAACAAATATACCTCAAAAAATTACATGTGAAAAATTGCGTCAGAGATCGTTGTACCAGGAACAATTTCACACACTGCATGTTTTTTATGCACTGCGAATTGCGAGACTTGAAAAGTACTTTGTGGGTAAATATAAATAACAAAGAGAATAATCGACGAACAATATATGGATGACCAACAAGAATCCAGCCGAGTCAGGTTGGGTGCGTGTTTTTTGTTTTCACGCATCATATTATATGATGTCAAAATGAGCTGATTATGATGAACTATTTTGTGTTAGAAATATAAGTTTATAGTGAGTTCTTTTTGATTTACTGTTAAAGAACTCAGAAAAGAGCATTTTTAGATAATTTTTTGTAATCATTTTAGCAGATCATAAAGAATTCAAAAAAGAGAATACTTTTTGAATTCTTTCTGGAGATCCTGCTGTCTGGGTTGTCTCTCACATTAGTAATATTAGTATTCTGATTTTGTGTGACGAGATTGCGCCTAACCGCAATCTCGATTTTTATACATTATCTTTCCTTAAGATATTTCCTCATGATAATATTAAATTTTATTATTAACCTGTTTCAGAATGCTCTGCAAATATCAGAAGATTATTGAAATCGAAAATGCGATATCAAAACAAATATCGTTGCCAGTATCATTTTTCAAGGAAAAGCGCTCAGCTATTAGTAAATTCTATGTGTTGATATGTGAATACTCATTTAATATATTACATGCTTTATTTAATATTAAGATTTTGTTTTCGTAAATGTAATAGTCTGCATAAATACAATCACGGCATACATTATGGCTGCGTTCGCTTTGGACGCTTACGCGCTGAAAGCGTTATTCTATCTTTCTTCGACATATAATGAGCAAAAAAGATAGACTGATGCTTTCAGCGCGTGAGCGTCCAAAGCGAACGCAGCCTATATCTCATATAACCTAATAAGCGAATTCAAAAATATCTTAAAGATACGGTTTTTAGATGTTTTGTGATAACTTTCAAATATATAATACATGCAGTTTGGGAATTTGTTATTTCAATTTTTATAATATTTATTAAAATTACATAATTGGTCTGTTCATTTCAATTGTGTTTGTTTCATTTCATGCAGTAAGTAAGTGCATAAGTGTATAAGTGAACAGACCTAATTATCGCAAAGGTGTTGCTTCTATCGTTTCATCGAGAATCGCATTATTCACTCAATACTTTCGCTTGATCCGCGGTCAATAACGGACAAATTGCGAAACGTTATATTCGAATCGCTCCGTATTTTTCGCTATTATAATTATCTAAAAGTGAGTATCGTGCACAAAGAATTGTTAGAAATGTTTCATAAAATGTGTATATCGTAATGTGAATATTGTTATTGCCGTGTGCAAGCGTTGATGCTAATATCACGGCTTCGGCAGTGGTGACCGGTTTCTGTGTTTGGTAAGTCAATTGAAGTTGCATTTGCATATTTCAAATTCTATTAGAGCGCATTAAAGGTGCGAATGAGAAAGACGCTCATTAAGATATACACATCATCCATTTTTTCCCTGATTGTTGCGTAAAGTAATTTTTATGTCTAAAAAATTATTTCTAGTGTTTTTTTTAGTAAAATATTGGACGTTTGTCATAACGCATTAAATATCGAATATGTTCATTATTATATGCCATATTGAAATTCCAGAATCAACGATCCGCTTCTATGTGCTTTGAATTGATCGTAATCTTCTTGGCATATTTCATCTTTTCTTCCCGCCGGATTACAAGGATGATCAGGTATACACTTACGTTATTATTCTTTTTTTGCTTTATTGTTGCTATTTATAAATGAACATCATGTCTGAAAAGTTATTTCTAATGTCTCTCTAATAAAATATTGAATACTTGTCACATTTAATATAGAGTATAGTTATTATATATTGTATGGCAATTTCAGAATCGATGATTTGCTTCAGTGCGTCATGAATCGATCAAAGTCTTCTTCGGGTGTTTCACGATCTTTTCTCATCGAAATACAACAATCATCGTTATCATCTCGAGCAATACCGTTATAACTTCAGGTAAGTGCGCCATTATTCTGTAATTTAATGGCAAAATCGATTACGATATAATAAATGGAAAAATATATCACAAAATAAAAATTGATCGATTTTTACATTTAATGCATAGTAAAATAAGGCAGCTATCTTGACATTAAATGAATATGAATACAATATCGTTAGTACATGCTATAGATTTCAAAATAATATATTTTGAAGAAAACAACACTTTTAGTTATAAAAGTATTTTCGATATGTCGATGCATCATGAATATTATCAATAATTTTTAGTAAAATACATTTTGATTTTTATTGAATTGTTTTCTATGGCTTCAATATTTTTTAAATAATATTTTTTATCAATATAAATATAACGGATTAGCTTTTAATATTTGTTACCAATAGCTCGATAGCATTGTCAATATTGGTCTATTGATATTAAATATCGATTATTTGATATTCTCTTACATGCACTGATATTTGTTCCGAGGAGCTGGGTTACAAGATAGCAATATTGCAGTACAATACGCGTCTTTGCCAAATTCAATTATTGTTGACTGTAAAACTTGAATTTTAATAACTTTAATTTTAATTTTTTCTTTAAATCACATTTACATTCGATGTCGCCGGCGAATATCTACTTGTTTTTGATTGGATTGATTTTTGCCGAGTAATCTGCCAATTTAAATTAAATATTTCAAGGTTGATTGATCTGTTGTAACTAATTTGTTTAATTAATGATAGTCCCAAAGTGATCACGCTTGACCCTAAGGGCTGTTAGGTGTAAACCTAACTAACCAGTAAGTTAAGTCCTGACTAAGGCATGTAAACGACCTGTTTATGACTCCCATTTACTCCCTTATTCGTGCTCGCTTTGCTATACGATTAATCGAGGTCGTAGCATTTAACTTTTACTCCTCGTAGCAGTGAGAGAATTTTAAATTTGCAATCTCTCTTCAATATAGTTGAGAATTTGTCGGCGATCTCCATGTATTATCATATATCGGCATATCGCTTTAAATTAGACATTGACAGAGATTAACTTTTGATACGTGAGAAAAGAAGTTATGTATATTCTCTAGATAAAATACTTAATTATGTTTATAAAAAATTATTTCTATAATTATAATTATAATAATTTAAAAAATATATTATAAAGCTTATGCTTTAAAAAAAATTAATGTTTTTGCCAATTTTACGATAGAAAATTTTTTTTGGTATTTGTCTTAAACAATAATTAGTTTTAATATATTAAAATTTTTATAGATAGAATATTTTATTTTTAAACAAAAGATTTTTGTTTTTATTTATTCACATTAATATTAGAGATTAATTTTTAATATCACAATAATAAAAGCAAGGGCTTAAAGGCTATAGCTGAATGTAGAAGCATGTAGCAATTATTAAATATAAATTTTCTAACTAATTCTCTCTACTAACTAATTCATTAAAGATTCCATAACTTTTTATTTTCAAGAATAATCAATTTGTATTATCATTAATGAATATTTAATGATTGCTACATGCTTCTACATTTAGTTACGGCCTTTTGTTTTTATTATTGTGATTTAAATATTTTGATAGGTATAATACAAGAATTTGTCTAATATTTAATGTTGGAAATTTTATTGTGAAGTTCTGCACACATACACACACGCACATACTTTAACTGAAATATGTTAGGTATTTTTTGTAACAGTAAGGAATTTAACATTAGCATAAAAGAAAGTTAATGAAAAGTATTCAACAATTAAGTACACTTGCTGAATAGTTGTATCGAATACTCAGGTGCCTTTGCACCTTTCCATTCAGTGAGAGGCTAACATAGTTGTATCTACGATGCAATGCTCGTATCCGTTGGGGCACTGCATTTAGGTAGTTTAATCATTTCGGTACGGCATCATCGGAATGCGAATTGGTTCCAATTGGTTGCAACCCACTAATCTGCCAGTGACAACCGAATGCTGTAAACGTTCGACGTCACACGCTCCTATATAATGTGATTGCTCGTTATTATTGCTCGTACAAAAATATGTCATACGATTAAACATTATCATATGATACATGTTGTATAACATAATATTACGAAATATCGTCAAATTTAATTTTTTTTACGGAGATCTTGAGTTACGCTTTAGAATGACTTTTATAGACAAGTTTAGTAACGACAAAAGTTACATGCGAGGTGTAAACTTATTATGAAGTTCTTGCGCACTTTAAAATATTAAATAAATAAATAACAATTTTTTTTATTTCACGTACAATGTAAGTGAACGAAAGTTTAACTCGAGAAGTATTGGTTTTCATTAACTTCGTCGCAAGGCGATCTCGCTCTTTGAGCTATTAAATTTTTTGAATCCCGGCGGTAAACGCCGGGGCTTGCTGCATTTTAAAGTGCATAAGGACTTTATAGGGCGATTT